CAGCTGACCACTGAGGCGTGGGGCAGTAGAGCGATAGGCCAGGAGTTGTTAGGTAGCGGCAGAGACGGCCGAGAATGTAGATAGTTAGGAGATCATGATTAGCTAGCGAAGGTAGAAGGTGTTAGGTTGTAGAATGTAGAGAACAGTTAGTGTTAGGATTGGTCATGGGAGTGCGTAGTAGTAGGTAGCATGTAGTATGAACAGTCAGTAGTAGAAGTAAATAGAACATATATATCATTTTAATAAAGAACAATTATAGTTGAACTTGAACTGTGTGTTGTTGGATTCATTCGTTCCGGCCTCTCTTAAAAATCCCCACCCTCACATCTGGTGGAGCGCGGGTCGAGGACGGGAAAGAAAGTATATCGGTTTACTCATGACGGAGTATGACTTGTGTACTGCTTTCTCTAACTCATCACAAAGCGGACTTCTTCAGTCGGAACGAGTTTGGAATACAAGGGAACTGTCACCATATTCACAAAGATAAGTACCTTCCAACATTTTTTTTAAACGTTTGGGTTTATACCCGTGCTGGATAGTTTGTGCCAGCGGTTTTTCTGCCTTATACATTCTATTGTTACGCCCTGTTGCCTTAGTTTTGTTTACTTTCCTCTACACACACACATACACATACACAACCATGGAGGCAGAGTTTCAATGCTATAAACGAGGCATACCATTAGACAAGACAGAAGAAGAATTTGAAACATCTTTAGAGAATAAGTTAGAAAACAAGATAGTCAAGATAGTAAGACATGTCAAGAACAAAAGCAGAGTTAGCGTTAGAATTAGTGAAACGGAAAGTACAGCACATAGATAACACGCAACTGCCCAAGAACATCAACCCCATGACCAAGAATATGACCCGGACCGTCCCCATAAATGATTTTGAACAACGGACAAAAGTGAAGTCAAGTCGAGTTTTGTGTTGATCTGAAATCTAAGTAGTCGAGAAAATCGGCGTGAAGTCGATATAGTTGAAGTCGAAGTCAGTGTAGTCAATCTGAAGTCAATAGTGTTATTGAAGTCAGTGAAGTATAAGTCAGAACTGAAGTCAAAGAAGTTATTTGAAGTCAGTCAAGTCAGTCAATAAGTTGTTGAAGTCGTAGTTATGGTCATAGAGACGTAGTTGAAGTCATGTTGCAGTCAAAGAAAAGTCTTTGAAGTTATATTACAGTCGCTGAGGTCATTGTGAAGAAGTGAAATCGTCGAAATTATAGTGAAGTCTTTGAAATCAGAGTGATGTCGTTGAAATCATTGAAGTCAAAGTTAAAGTCTTTGAAGTCATATTGAAATTGTTGAAGTCAAAGTGAAGTCTTTGAAGTCATATTGAAATTGTTGAAGTCAAAGTGAAGTCTTTGAAGTCATATTGAAGTCGTTGAAGTCAAAGTTAAAGTCTTTGAAGTCATATTGAAATTGTTGAAGTCAAAGTGAAGTCTTTGAAGTCATATTGAAGTCGTTGAAGTCAAAGTGAAGTCATATTGAAGTCGTTAAAGTCAAAGTGAAGTCTTTGAAGTCATATTGAAGTCGTTGAAGTCAAAGAAAAAGTCTTTGAAGTCAAAGAGAAGTCTTCGAAGTCATATTAAAGTCGTTGATGTCAAAGTGAAGACGTTTAAGTCGTCGAAGTTTAAGTCGGTCAGTGAAGTCTTTTAAGTTGAATTGAAGTGAAGTCGTCGAGGTCAAGTTAGTCTTCAAAGTGACGTTAGTCGTCAAGTTGAAGTAATTGAAGTCGTCAAAGTGGAATCAGTCGTTAATTTGAAGTCAGTCGAGTTGATGAAGTCGAAGTGAAATAAGTCAAGTTACTGAAGTCAGTCAAGTTACTGAAGTCATAAGTGAAGTCAGTCATTAAGTCAAGCTAGCCAGTTTTTTGTCAGAATTCAGATAGTGAGAGCTGCTCCACTATATGATTACGTATTCAAATGTTGATTTGAAACGGCACGATTAATTATATACACTTACATGTCTATTCTTTTTGTGAAGCTATTTCTAAGCTCTAGTAGTGTTTACGTCTATTGAGTTTATTAGGCTTTACAGATTGTTGTTAGCTTAGAGTGTACTGATTTTTTTGTATTTGGTTATTTTTTGTAATGTTATATTTGTAATGTTATTTTTTTAATGTCTGTTATACCGCCAGACAAGTGTTCAGCACGTTTAAATTTGGGATTGAGGTTTTTTTTAAATGGAAGGTACCTCTGTCTGAATACTTGTCTGCGCGGACACTAAATTGGTCACGTAAAACCATTGCTCATGGTCTCGTAATACAATTTTCAGACCATCAACGCTTACATTGAATGAGACGAGATGTAGCCGACACTTCAAAGAGTGCCGCCACATGAAGCCCCTGATTACGTTGAATTACCTGGACAGCGAACAGCCCTGCTGAACAGAGAATTTCCCTGGTCAATACAGCGGACGCATCGCCACCGCTTCGCCCCCCCCCCCCCCCCCCCCCCCGCACTGGAGTTGAATAACAGACCGCCAGCTACGTACACCTACGTCGGCACATACAAAGGGTAGAAGACCCATCGTCCAAGTTCCCAGCGACAGAATGTTACGTCATTGTTCACCAGCGCATCAGACAGCTCCAGTTCATCGTATAACCACTCTACGTGGACGTCTCAACCAGCGTTGAGATGAGATTGTTGCGTCATCACATTGACCAACGAAGTTACGCCTACACCCGCCTCACGGGAGATTACATCAAAACTCGCCACAACCCACTCACCACAGAGGAACGCCAGCAATTACATAACACTTACACATACACTTACACTGCTCGCAGAGACCGTTCAACCAGTTACACATTCTACTAAGATTAGCTCAAGGCCAGTACACGACAACCTAGCCAGAACTGAGTTTCACATGATTGAATTCACAGATACCATAACATAGACATACATTAGCAAGCAGAGACACCAGTCACACCACAAGATTTCAGGAACTAGAACAATGACATTTCTTCAAGAACACAGACACAAGAGTTATGTTTTTGTAAACTGTGCTGTCCCATTTTTTATTTGATTTATATGATTGATGTTAGGGATAGAATAGAGTAGTAAGATAGATAGTTGTTGATGTATTAGATTAGTAGTAGACGCTGAAAAATATAATTTGTCAGCTACAGAAAGGGAGGGAGATATGTGATGACGCAAGATTACGCCAGACATGTTTAGCAGATATAGTTTAGCAGAAACAGACTATAGGCCTAGTTGGTTGGTTAGAGAGACCAATGGGCGCACAGGGCTGACCGGTCACGTGGGAAGGTCAGCTGACCACTGAGGCGTGGGGCAGTAGAGCGATAGGCCAGGAGTTGTTAGGTAGCGGCAGAGACGGCCGAGAATGTAGATAGTTAGGAGATCATGATTAGCTAGCGAAGGTAGAAGGTGTTAGGTTGTAGAATGTAGAGAACAGTTAGTGTTAGGATTGGTCATGGGAGTGCGTAGTAGTAGGTAGCATGTAGTATGAACAGTCAGTAGTAGAAGTAAATAGAACATATATATCATTTTAATAAAGAACAATTATAGTTGAACTTGAACTGTGTGTTGTTGGATTCATTCGTTCCGCCTTCGTAAAATCCCCACCCTCACAACTGGTTCAACTAGAGGAACCTCAAACTAAGATCATTTCGTACCCTCACAATAGGCCTATTTTCTAGGAAATGTATTTTTGTGTTTCTATATCTAGTTTGTTTTGTTGATGTTGTTCTGCAGCACTGCCTTGATATCTCAAATTTTTAACCGAGAAAATTATTCGAATGTGTTCATTTCGATTACAGCAGGACTTCTCAATGTTCGTTCAATAAAATTTCAATTTAAATATATACATCTGTAGATCTAGGTATATATTAACAATCTTAAACAACAACTTTACTTGAGAAAAAACGTTTTTATTTATTAGTGTATTTACAGTTGCAACTATTAGGCGATAGCTAGTAAGTGGACAGACAACCTAGTTCATTGAAGGCAAACACAAATCGTAAGCCTAAATAGTTAATTCGTTTGATCCCTTTTACTTTTAACCAAGCCCGTTTGTTTATTTTTTAACAAAAAAAAATAAAATAAAAAAACATCTGGCTTGTTTTAGTGCTTATGTGTTCAAGTATTGGGCAGGATTTTAAAAAGTGGCTGACGTAATTTACGTGCGAACCCTATGCTACAATTAACCATTAACTGCCAGTCTAGTGAGTCTAGGCTAATAATTACAACACAAAAAAAATAATGAGATGTGGAATCACGTGTGTGGAGAGGAGGAAGCAAATAAATATAAAGCATCACATGATGATCAAAAAATGGCGGCTATAGAACAAAACTTTAATTAGATTTAAATCACAGTTAAGTCCCCTGTAAGTGTGTGATGTGAATGTTGAACTGAGTTCTGCATCATCACAGGGGTCATCCATAAATGACGTCACACTCGTAGGGGGGAGGGGGGGTCCGTAATTTTGTGACGATGTGTGATGAGGGGGAGGGGGGGGGGTCAGATGTTGCGACGTCACATTTTTGCATTATAAAAAAGCAATGTTAGAAAACGAATTTTAGACGTTATTTCGCGTTTTAGATAACTGTTTTAATAAATTGTAATAGTTTAGACAAGATTTTGAAAAAATATCAATGTTTAAAAAAAATTCAACTGCAATTTTGAGGGGGGTTGTAGGTTGAGGTGTGACGTCATTTTAGGGGGGGGGTCTGGCTTCTCTAGTGTGAGTGTGACGGAGGGGAGGGGGGGAGGTAAAAATCGTCAAAAAAAGCGTGACGTCATTTATGGATGACCCCACACATAGATTCTAAGTAGATCTAGACTCTAGTCTAGAGAATCTATATTAGGCAAACAAACAAAAAGTAACATGCAACGGATGATGTTTCAACCTAAAACCTTTGTCAATTGGAAAAATGATAGTAAATAATATTTCTTTCGGCAACCATAAAAATCTTGATCTAGATCATTCTAGATCAATCATTTTAAATTTTAGCAAAAACAACCAGTTGTCATAGTCACCATAGGTCAGGCCATAGACTCTTGGTCTAGGATAGTTTAATATTAATTTAAATTTATATTTCATAAGCCTAAGTATAAAATATCAGTTTGCACATTTAAATGAAAATTCTAAACTTTTGACACAAATTTGCTCACTAAAATAAAAATAATGTGCTTTTAACAACATTGTTTTATTTAAAGTAAAATATCACTCTAGTAAATTTAATTAAAATATAGATCTAAGCATAGTAAAATGTAAAAATAGCCATCTCAACAATCATATTGACTAGACTAGGTTGACCATTTGGTGTGTAAGGATCAGCAGCCCAAAAATTGTAGTAAAATCTCTCAGATGTAAATTACTAAATTTGATTTAAAAGAATTTTAACAAAATCGAGCTTAACATTGTAGTAAAAAAACATTCACACCATGAAACAAATTAATGAAGTTTTAAAACTTGAGATACAATATAAGTTTAAAATACACTCATGGGAGAGCACACATTCAACACCAAAATATATTTTTAAAAGTAAACAATATAAAGTGTATAATATTTTTTACAACTTGAATTTTTTTTAAATATATAGAAACCTAAATATTTTTGGACACAATAAAAATATTCACACAAAAAACTTTTATTGCAACAGCAGTAGATGTGTAAATAAATTCTTTGGACCAGACTGTAAGGCCAAAGTTTTTTTTAGCAGCAGTAAAATATGATTTTTAAAAAAAAATTTGTCATTTTTTAAAATATTCAACCAATAATGCTAGTAACAATACTGGTCATAGTACTGTTGTGTGTCTAACGGTTGAGAATGTTGGAAGTAAGCAAAATATAAACATATTATATTACATCAAGAGGTTTGAAGTAAACTAAATATAAACATATTACATCCATGTCTAGGCACATGATATTTTTAAACTGGTAAGAAAAACAGTTGAATAAAATACAGGTGTCTAAATTTGAAAACACCAAAAGATCCAGGTAACAATCTTTTTAATGGCCAGGTTTGTTGACAGTTTATTTTTAAAACAAGACTCTTCTGTCATTTGCTCAGATTGGATAGATTTTATTTTGGAAAAAAAAAATAACTTCACATTAAACCAACATAGGAATAATGGTAGGCCTACATTTTAGTATTCAAGTCAATTACAATTTAAAAAATAAATTGTAATTTTAAAACACTAAGATATATATAATATGTACAAACCCAATGTTACATTTTAACACACTTTAAAAAAATATTTAAAAACCCCCAAGGCATAGAAAATATACAGGAAACTTAAATCACACTCTACATTTATAAAATTAACTAGTTTCCTTAAAGAAAAATGGGTTATGCTAATTGAATGAATGGGTTTCAGACAATAAGACACTCAATAAGTACAAAACTAGGAGTGTAAATTATTTAAGTAAACAACTATTAGATCAGTTTTAAATGCAGTTTAAAAATGAATCAAGACAAAAGAAAATTGGCAAAGCTTTGGAAGTAGCATTATAGCTTGTTGCTATGGCCTCTTGTCAATAATGAGCAGCTAACATAAACTATTATCTAAAATTTAAAATCATTTAACTAACATCAGTTGTCAATTTAATTTTTTGGGTTATGTCTATTTTAGACCTGATGGTCAAGTAGAGTATATTTGTTTTTGTTACCAGGGCATAGGAAAGGACAGTGAGGTCAATACTACATCCACCTACTTTCACTCTTCCAGACCCAGGTATCCATTAGAGCTGAGTGAACTCAGAGATGTTCTACAGGCTCTAGCTCAGGAACTGAGCATGTGACTTTTGTGTCAGCAATCAAGCGCTCACCCATCCATCCATTCATGCAGTCCGAATGCCGACCTGTCCACTCTACCCCACACCACCACCCCACCCCATTGTGACCATACTGTCCAAGTGCCCACCCTTCCATTCTAACCCAAAGGTGGTATAAACTATCAAACTGGATGAGCAGGTCTTAATTAAAGATTTCAATAATCTTTCTAGGTTAACCAACTTTTCACTAAATTTTTAAAAGCAGGTAAATATTTGTTTCTTACCAATTCAGTAAGAAATTAATCAAACCAACAATTTTTTTTTGTTTTAGCAAAGAACAAAAATATTTATCCTGCATTTAAAATTAAAAAGAGAATATGAGATTCTTGAGGGACGAGAATAGCCATAGAACCTACAGAAAATTTGGCTTGAGCTTTGCCCAGCATAAAGTTTTAAAAAAAATATAACAGCAAAAATTGATAATTCAACAAATTAAAAATGAAAACATTTAAAATTGGCCAAGTCTTAATACATGTGTCATTATAGTAAAGTTAATTATGCAATATAATAAAACAAATTTAAATACATGAAAAAAGAATTTTTCATAGAGTTTCATATTAAATTTTAAATCACTATGTAAACAAACTTTTTTTTCAGACACAATCAGAATATAGTGAGGCAAAAGTTTGTTCTCATAAATAATTTATGAGGCAAAAGTTTGTTCTCATAAATAATTTATGCAAAAACAACAATGCTTACATTTGAAAAAAAATTAACAGAGAATACATTGTTTGTTAAATAGTTACATCTTAAGACAGACAAAAATTTAGTCAAAACAGTTTAAAAACCACACAATGTGGTCAACCAGTAATTTAAAACAAAGTCTCGTTAAACTCAAAATTGATATCCTTATACAGAAATATTTTCAGTTTACTTACTGGTATCTGCTATTGTTGTATGACTTCTAATCTTGAAGCTTAAAACACACCAATATCAGCAAAAACATGTCTAACCTCTTGTTGAACCTACTAGCCCCGACTATTATAAGTACTGTACGAGGAATTGACTGCAAGACCAACATAGACGCCAATAATAATTGCAGCAACGACGAAGGCAATGATGCCGATCACAACACTGATGATGACCATACTTCTGGCAGATCTTGAGTGAACTTGAGCAGACGCTAGGTCTCCACGAGCCAGGGCATTTCTTGCCTGGAACCAATCAGGTCAAGAATATTTATAGAAGTGGGTCAGGTCAATAAAATACAGGATAGGTTGTATGTGTGTGATAAGAAAGTGTTAAGTCTCAGTTTAATCAGAATAAGGTTAACTAGTGTAGGTGTTAAGTCTACAGTTAACTAGTGTTGGTGTTAAGTCTTTGGTTAACTAGTGTGGGTGTTAAGTCTACAGTTGACTAGTGTAGATGTGAAGTTGAAAGTTAACTAGTGTAAGTTTAATAACTAGACAGATTAAAAACCCAAACAAAACTGGTACATACATCACTGGCCCTCATGATGGCCACAATTCCAGTTGGCCAGAAACAGCATAAGGTGACAAATATGGCCGCACACATTTGATCTGGGGGCGCAGGCCCAGTTACAACTGGATAGTTTCCTGTAGGCTGTGTCACCTAAAGCAGGAAATAGAGTTGGACATCTTAAACATCTTAAACAGATGGACATTTTAAATAAAGGGACATCTTGATTACAAATTACTAATAAGTACTTAATAGATAATTAAGAAGTGCTAAGATTTTTAATAATAGATTTACCCTGTAATACTATATGTGACATAGAACTGCACAGATTTTTTTAAAATTAGGGGTTGCTCATAACTGACAATAAAGACATCAATGGTACTAGAGGTGATGTTGTGGAAGGGGTGAGGAATTAAATAGTTTTTTTTTCTTCAAATTTTCAAATTAATCTTAAAAATAGCTGATACAGTACTTCAGACTTTTAAGTATGAAAATAAATAATTCACCCATAAAAATATTGATCATAAGCACACCCCATCTTGTTTGCCAATTTAAGGCTAACAAACTTTTTTTGTTCAAGGTGCATATAAAATGTAATAAAAATATTAGCTGGTTGATTGATGTACTTTTACAACCTAAATATTGATTGATGTACTTACACAACCTAAAGATGACTTACCATGAAAATGTTGGTTGATTGATTGATGTACTTACACAACCTAAAGATGACTTACCATGAAAATGTTGGTTGATTGATTGATGTACTTACCACAACAGTGTTTGATGTCTGTTGATACTGTCCCTGTTGATAGCCCATGGGGTAATTGGGATAACTGGGGTATGTTGTTCCTCCAGCAGGATAGCCTTGAGGGGGGTACTGTGTAGGATATGGTGCACCCCCTTGAGGGGGGTACTGCGCACCTCCTTGAGGGGGGTACTGCGCACCTCCTTGAGGGGGGTACTGTGCACCTCCTTGAGCAGGATATGGTGCACCTCCCACTGGGGCATCATTATAAGCAGGTGGGGGTCCATAATAATTGCCTTGGTCCTTTTCACCAGGTGGTAAATCTGCATTGAAAGTTTCACTTTTATTAGAGAAAGATGTAATTTTTCAGTGGTTTACAGTAATGACTAAACAACAACATGAAGAGGCCATCACATCACTGGTGACAAACTGTAGATCTATGTCTTGATGAAATCATGTATCTCTCACCAGAACATTTTCACAGTGCTGATAATAATGATTGTATTGGGACTGCTAAAACCTGCATCATCTCAATTCTAGTCACATGACTAGGCCATACTGTGTACGTTAAATAATGTAATTCACTTCCCCAAGCTCAGAATAACTTATTAGTCAACTCATCAGACACATACACATAAGCCTACACACTGTTACATGTATCATAATATGCTCTATATGCAATAGATGCCTAAATAAAATCTAATATTGTAACCCACATTATATGAATTAGATTATGGGCCTATTGGCCTTTATATGAGTCTATATATATAGGCATATATATATATATAGGCCTATATATATATATATATATATATATATATATATACACGCAGGGGCGTAGCGAGGGGGGGGGGGCGGGGGGGGGGGGTGCAGACCGCACCGGGTGACACCATTTATGGGGGTGACACCAAGGCAAAAAATAGCAAAATATATAGAGAAAAACTTGATGGGGGGGGGGGGGGGGGGGGGGGGGGTGCAAATCATAAACTTGAAAGTTTGTCCCCAGGAAGGGTCGCTATGCCTCTGGGGGGTGACACCATTAAGTGTCGCACCGGGTGACCCCCAACCTCGCTACGCCACTGATATATAGGCCCTAGGGCCTATATGTATATATATATATATATATATATATATATATATATATATATATATATATATTATAAGGCTAAACTAAACAGTTATAAACTATATAAATTTTAGATCTAGATCTAGAATCTATAAATGATTTCAGATAATGAATAATGGCATCTAGATCTAGATCTAGTTTTACTTGCCTAACTTATTAACTAGATCTACAACTAGTAACTAGATCTACTAGCAAACTGATTTAGGAGATTTTTATTCCCGTCCTCAGATTTAGAATCTAGTGTAATTACTAATTATCATTATTATAAATATATAATGGTTTAGAATAAATAAATAAAATAAAGTAAGATTCTAATCTAAATTATTATTACTAATACTAATAAAATTACTAAATTACTAAAATTAGTTAATTAATAATTAGACTAGAGTACTCACGTGCAGATTTTTCCATTTTAATATTTTAATAATTAATTGGCTAACTAAATATTGTGTTGGCTAATCACTCTAAATCAATGCTTGAAGTAATTTTATTTAGGCCCACAGTGAATAGCAAGCCTAAATACTAGATCTCTAAATAGTCTACCCGTAACTAGTCTAAACAACAAATAACAACCTAACCGCCCTGTCGTTACAGTTAGCTGAGCCTGGGTAAATGGGTCTACTAGGAAAACAAGAACTTCATAAGACCGTCCAGCAACATTTCGCTATTGGTAGCTATTTTTAGAAGCAGGATGTATGGAGAAGAAATAGGAAAAAATGGGTCATGAAAACCCCGCTCATTAAACATAGGCATACACGGTCAACGTTGCGTAGTTTTTGATGTGGGCCATTGGGGATCGGATCATATCACATTTGTATGACATTAGGGGGTGTGGTTTATTATTGTGTTACCTTGTGTTATACGAAGTAGAAGGTGGTAGGAAAATGGTATAGGCCTTTCGTTTCACGTAGGCCTCGGTGTGTTTATTACATTTATACCGGCAGTGTTTCTTCCAGACTTTTTTCTCCGGGGGGGCACTTGAAATCTTCGGGGGGGCGGTAAACTTTCTTCGGGGGGGGGGGGGCGGACACTGTTAAAAGTATATATTTTCTATATAAATGATACAAATTTCATTTCGTTCGGGGGTGGGGCGGTAAAAAATTTTCGGGGGGGGGGGGGGGGCGAACGGTACTTATTTATAGTGAGCTATCTTTCCAGGATGCTTGGTAGATCATAGTCCATGAGATGAAGGAAAAACTTCAAGTAAACAATGACTTACCACTTGTTGATAACAACAAGCCTACACTGTGAGGACTAATAGATCACGGGTTCCCAACCTATGGGGTGCGACCCCCAATTTGGATTTTATAATGGGTTGCCAACTTATAGTCTACAATGAACTTTTTTTTAATTCGCCTTTACTAACTTGACTAACAATGGAAGAGAGAAGCAACATTGCGAAATGTGCAGTAGTTCTTTGTCAGAAGCCTATGAAACCCTCAAACAAACGTCACTTAGCTGAAACATTCAGAACATACAAAGTCACGGGTTCCCAACCCAAGGGTGTCGTGAAGGGTTCCCAATCCAAGGGTGTCGTGAAGGCTAAGGGTCCCAATCGAAGGGTATCGTGAAGGGTCCCAATCCAAAGGTGTCGTGAAGGGTTCCCAATCCAAGGGTGTCGTGAAGGCTAAGGGTCCCAATCGAAGGGTATCGTGAAGGGTCCCAATCCAAAGGTGTCGTGAAGGGTTCCCAATCCAAGGGTGTCATGAAGGCTAAGGGTCCCAATCGAAGGGTATCGTGAAGGATTCCCAATCCAAAGGTGTCGTGAAGGGTTCCCAATCCAAGGGTGTCGTGAAGGGTTCCCAATCCAAGGGTGTCGTGAAGGGTTCCCAATCCAAGGGTGTCGTGAAGGGTTCCCAATCGAAGGGTATCGTGAAGGATTCCCAATCCAAAGGTGTCGTGAAGGGTTCCCAATCCAAGGGTGTCGTGAAGGGTTCCCAATCCAAGGGTGTCGTGAATGGTCCCAATCAAAAGGTGTCGTGAAGGTGTTTCAAGGGTCGCAAACTTGTTTGGAGACCTATGCACTAAGTTATCTGGGATTTATTCTTACACATAGAGGCAAACATGGCATACTTTTAACCAGTAACGTTTTTAGTTAGATAGCACATTAGTACAAGCAAGCTTCAAATTAATTCACATTGACAAGTCGAAAAGCCTCTATCAACTATCCACTGGAAAAAAGGTACTTGATTCGATGATTAAAAATGTGTTGATTACATCGGCGAAAAGAAATGGCGTGAATCATGGCTTTGAATTGTAAGATGAAAGCATCTTTCTCTAATAAGTTATGAATCACATCCAAGCATGACGATGCTTGCCTTTTAAGTTTTAGTTTCTTTTGTGTTCACAAACAATTCCTCGTTTAAAAATAAAACGAATTAATCAATCAAATATTTAGAAGAACATCATATTGGCTTTAACTTTTAACAAATAAGCTTACTTACCAGCGAACTTTTGATACATCGCATTTATTTATTTATTTTAAAGTATACTTAAACTATTGTCGTTGTGATTTTATTGCCTTACTTAAATGTTTTAATTCCATTAGGACGCGGTTCACTTGGCTGTACAGAAAGGGGTCGTCACGAAAAGGATTGGGAACCTGTGTACTAGATTCTACATCCTGTTGTTTCATACTTTGCTCTTTCGACTTGCATTGCCTACGGCTATCCTGTAGTAGTGCAATGCATGATGCGAACACTACCTGTTCATTAACTGTGGTTAGATAGTTATCGAAGCGTGCAAGACCTTCAATTCAACCTGCACAGGAATGTTTCTGCATGCTGCTGCCGAATGTTAGTGAATCAATTGTTCCACCTGCCGAATGTTAGTGAATCAATCATCTCCCACCTGCCGAATGTTAGTGAATCAAAATTCACCTGTTGTACACCTGAGACGAGCAAAATTCACCTGTTGTACACCTGAAACGAGCAAAATTCACCTGTTGTACACCTGAGACGAGCAAAATTCACCTGCTGTACACATGACGAGCAAAATTCACCTGTTATACACATGAGACAAGCCACCTGTTGTACACCTGTGACGAGCCACCTGTTGTACACCTGAGACGAGCTATCTGTTGTACACCTGAGACGAGCAAAATTCACCTGTTGTATACCTGAGACGAGCAAAATTCACATGTTGTACACCTGAGACGAGCAAAATTCACCTGTTGTACAGATGACGAGCAAAATTCACCTGTTGTACACCTGAGACGAGCAAAATTCACATGTTGTACACCTGAGACGAACAAAATTCACCTGTTGTACAGATGACGAGCAAAATTCACCTGTTGTACACCTGAGACGAACAAAATTTACCTGTTGTACACCTGAGACGAACAAAATTCACCTGTTGTACACCTGAGACGAACAAAATTCACCTGTTGTACACCTGAGACGAACAAAATTCACCTGTTGTACACCTGAGACGAGCAAAATGTACCTGTTGTACACCTGAGACGAGCCACCAGTCGTACGCCTGAGACGAGCAAAATTCACCTGTCGTACACCTGAGACAAACAAAATTCACCTGTTGTACATCTGATACGAGTAAAATTCACCTGTTGTACACCTGAGCAAAATTCACCTGTTGTACACATGAGCAAAATTCACCTGTTTTACACCTGAGACGAGCAAAATTCACATGTTGTACACCTGAGACGAGCAAAATTCACATGTGTCTCTAAAGGTCTTGATTAATGTCGGACTAAATTTTTACATCTTTAATAAACTTCATCAACGTAGCCAGTAATGGGGGGGGGGGGGGTAAGAGCGTTGAGGCTATTTTTGTTTTTCTAGACAGTGAATTACATTAATACATGACAGGAGATGTAATTAGGGTTAATGAAGGCGCTCATCTGAAGTCACCACATCCATGTTGGTTGATAATAAGGACGCCATCTTGAGCTCAATCTGCACCTCACTAAAGGCGTCAATTTTTTTTAGTCAACTTGAAACTACATGACAGACTGCACATTCAAATGTATATTATTATGTTGTTGGCTATGGTAGAAGCATTTAGTCAGCTATTAGCATACTTAACAGACATAGCCCAGCTAGTCAGCACATTCGACTGTATATGGTGTTGAATATGATAGAAGTTTGTGTTCGTCACTAGTAAGTCACATAGACGCACCCCAGATACACAATCCCATTATGTTTACTCAGTTGGATCTTTTTATAATGTAATCAAAGGTGCGAACTGAGAAATGGGGGAGGGGGGCGATATTTAGTCTGTTGTGGAACAAGAGGCGTTAGTTTACATTCTTGACTGCATTACCATTATAAGCGCTCATCTTTTTTTTCTGTGATACTAGAGGTAGCAACAGCTTTCAAAGTGGGGTCTATACCGTGTTTAAACTATCGATCTCATTTTTATCGATAAAGTTGGAGTGGAATATTTGCTAAATTTTGACGTAGCCAGGGCACGATTTGTATTGATTCTCAGCTTGTGGTTGTCTTGCGGTTAGCAAAGCGTCTGGTTGATAATGATGTTGAATTTGTTCTCGTGACTATTTGCTATCAGCAATCAATATATGCTTTACCCGCTAGTTTCTGTGTACATGATTTTTAAAAGGTTTAGTTACCAGCCCCATGTGTAACACTGCTGTCTTTTTTAAAGACGGGCAGTAGGATGAAAGACACTTTTGCAGACTTCTGATGACTTTCGATGAGAGAGACTTCTCCTATAGATAGGCAGTTTGTTGAAAGAGACTAATAGAGGGTTAATGGAGTCTTAAATACGTTTACAAGTGGACATTGTTCTTTGAGATCGAGTGACACGGATGTAAAGTCTGCGTTTCCATACCAAAAGCAAAGCTAGATGGTATATATCTGATATATATATCTGATATATATATCTGATATATATATATATATATATATATATATATATATATATATATATATATATATATATATATATATATATATATTCATTTATTTATTTTGTAATTTCCGGTCCCTCACCACAAAAAATATGAATACCTTTAAATCTCATTTGTAATATATTGATTCGCTGTATTCTAGTTAGATTAGTCAGTGTTTAGACTAGTTAGATTAGTGTAGGGTTTAGACTAGTTAGATTTGTAGGGCTTAGGCGAGTTAGATTTGACCGTGTTTGTTAGTTATCAGTAGTATAGATAGTTCATCAACCTTTATTTATACAAAAAGCCCTTCTTCTCTCTGTTAGCCCTAGTGTTTTGTTACCTATTGGAGGTTGTGTTGACTTCTGTGAAACGCTTGACTGCACACAAGCTGTGTGACTGCATTTCCTCGACCCATTGTTGCAATTGTTTTTTTTTGTCTAGCCAATGTATACACCTCGTCAAATCTTTACTTCTATTCGTAACAGAAAATGTTGTAGATATGGTTTACATTGGAGTGAGGCAAGCCTACGTTTATAGATACAGTTTACATTGGAGTGAGCCAAGCCTACGTTTATAGATACTGTTTACATTGGAGTGAGGCAAGCCTACGTTGATAGATACTGTTTACATTGGAGTGATGCCAGCCTACGACCAGGACGATAGATATAGATACCTCTGTCGATACGCTGACCTCAATCAGCTGTGTGTTGGACACCTCGCCACTGCAAGCACAT